CCCCGACTCGTCCGCAGGCGCCGGTCCGTGGTCTGGAGCCAGGCGTTTGACTCTGAGTGGGCAGAAGATCGTCTGACAGGGCCTCCACCTCCCCCAATTCGAAAAGCTCAACTCAAAGTCTCAACCCCAAGCATGGCAGGCAGGGGCTGCCATCCAAGCATATACTTAGTACAGTGGAGCCCTGTTTCCCGTTGAGAGGGCGATTCCAAGGTCTTGGTCCTGCGATATGGCGGAGAGTGTTTCCAATTAGGAGAGCAGGTCGTGGGCAACTTTATCGGTTCCTGCAGTCGGTGGGCGGCTGGAGTCGGTAAGTGTACGGATACGGACATGGTGTACGGATACACTCCATACTTAATATATGTATTTTATCGAGAGCGGTTGGCCAGAGGTACCATAGAAACAGGCAGTTCTGTCGTATTGAAAGCGAATGCGAGGTCAATGGCCAAATGCCAAACCTCTGCGGCGAACGGATTGCTTGTGACTTCCGATTGCATTATGGCCAACATTGCCGAATTTGGTTCTGAAGTCAGCTGTCTATTGGCTCTTCACAACACCCAAAGGCTATTTCGTCAAGTCTCATTCACAACTGATTACTGCTGCTGAAAGTTGTCCTTCGAAGTATTCTTCACTTCTCACCGTCAACACATAGCGAAGCGCAGAAGATAGTTTCTTTTTCTAAAATCATCGCGTGTGTGTCCATTGTTTCTCTCCTAAATTTGAATAAAACTGTGAAGGGTGCAGTGACCAGAGTCAATATCCGAGGGTGTCGTTTACGTGGAACGAAATTGCTTGGCACTCTTGTGGTTCGCTGGGGGGCTTCAGGTCATACATCTTACTGGTGCAATATCTAGCCAGTGGCTATTCAACCTTGCCCTATTCGAAATGTAGCATCGATCATTGCATCAGTTTATATGGATTTCTCAACTCAGCAAGACCGAGATACTACACGTGCCGCAGAAGAAGAGAATATTGGTATCATCATGTTGGTAGAAGAAGGTGTACAGAAGCAGTGCAAGTAGCAAAAGCGGCACTACACCAGACACTTGGCAATAATCTGAACAACGCAGAGTAGACCGTCGTACATTGTTCTTGATGGTAGATCAGTATCCAGGCTTCTTTACGATACTGTAGCGTCTGCCAACCATTGGAGCTGCTCTACCCAATCGTGGCAAAATTACTCTACCCTCGTCTCTCAGATCAAATATCTCACGAACACAGCCCAGGCACTTGCAATGATTGTAACCAACAACCCAAACGTCAAAGTAGTAAACCACTTCTTCGACGTCCGTCTTGTTAGCGGGTCCGCCTGTCGGTCCACAATCAAAGCCTCCCTCGCCTGTCTCTGTTTCCGGGTCAAGGTCATGCCCTTACCCAAGAATCGATAATCAACGACAATATAAGACAGGCCCAGCACGAATGCCCACGCCTTAATGGCAATCGCGACGGTCAGGACTTTGGAATATCCGTTCCCCTCCGTGTCGTCTTGAAGCGCGCCAAAGACGACGTCCATCTAGAAAGTGAACGTCAGCACCTGTCCCAATTTTCTCCAAGACCAAGAGAACAACGAAAAGTCCCGGGAGACATAAAGGAATTCGACTTACAATCGTCGACCCGGAGTTGTTGAAAGCTCTCCACACCCCAAACGCCGTCCCAATCTTGGCCTGGTCAGCCACCAGCAGCGGGATACAAATCTGCAATGGCATCGAGTTGATCACGCCCGCCAAGCTAGAAAACACGAGCGCCGCAAGTGGATGGACATCGGTGAATCCCAACATCGCGCAAGCAATAATCCACAAAACGGGCGCCGTCGCCACGTAGTGGAATCGGTGCCCGTACTTGTCGATAGCAAGACCAACAAACGGGCTCAGAACAATGGGCAGAATCTTCTGCGCCGTCGACAAGTACCCCGCCACCGCCTCCGTATATCCCTTCATGAAGATGATATCGGCCGAGCTGGTGCTGAAGCCGCCCGCGGCACCGCTCTGGAGCAGCTGTGTCGCGGGGAGCATCAGGTAGGCCCATGGCAAGGCGAACAAGACGTTCCAGGAGAAGCGGCGGCGATCCAAAAGGTTTTGCTGCTCGGCGATGGCGCGGGCCCGGCCCGAGGTCAGTCGGAAGCGCGGCGGAACGGCGAGCCGCTCGAAGGTCACGTAGGCGATGTTCACAACAAGGGAGAACCCGCAGAAGAAGACGGGAATCCAGAACGTCCAGCCGTACCAACCTGTCCCGTCGCGGATGGGGATGGCAACCATACCTGAGACGAGACTGACCGTGTTGGCGATAGCGGACTCGAGGCCAAAGGCGAAGGCGAGGCCCGATGCGCCGAACCAGTGGTAGAAGAACTTGAGAACTCCCGTCAGCCAAGACATTACCCAAGAATGCTAAAAACGTCGTTCCTGAATACCGAGGACCAACTCACCTTTTGCGTAGCAGAGTCAAGCACCGCAATACCGAACCCCATGAGCACATGTCCGCTCACAAGAACCCTCCACAGCCCAACCTGCACGCCGGCCGCCGCAACCACGGACCCGACGAGGATCACGGCGGTGCAGCACAGCGTAACGAGGTTCGGCCCCCACCAGTCGAGCACAAGCCCGCCAACAATAGGGAACACGGTGTTGACAAAGGCGTCGGCGCTGCTGATGACGCCAAATTGCGCGTTGTTTACGCCGAGCTCAGTGCGCAGCGTGTTCTTGAGCGGGCCGAGAGCGGAACCGGTCCAGGTGTGTCCGATAGGGAGGGAGACGACGCAGAGAAGGGCAATCCATTTGTAGGACCAGGGGATTCGCTGGAGGGTCTCGTCTTCAGCGTCGATTGGTGGCAGGTCGGCGGGCGAGATACCGAGGGCTTGAACGTCGACGTCTGGTTCCGTCTTTTCCTCATCCCGGACGGGGACCGGTGATTCTGGGGCGTCTGGCATCTCGGTGATAGTACAATGTAAGCCACCAAGCAAGGTCTGTATATCTGTAGAAAACTATAATATTAGCGGATACACTCACAATCAAGACTCAAGAAGAGGAATTATATATTCAGTTTTCCTTTACACTTATAACAACGTCTCGGGGAGAAGGCCGAGCATCCTGCAAACGGTGCATCCATAAATTACTAGCTTTGCATCTTATCTGATCCATCTGACAGGCTCTGCAAATATTTTGATCTGATAAAATGTCGCAAACTCCATATTGGCGCTCGGCGTGCCTATCACGTCTCTCTAAGTCTTCGTATGGTGGCCTTGGCGCTCACCGCCGCACCCCATATCAACACTTGGCATCGGTCCTTTCCAGCGTTGAGGAGTCTTGGCAACAGATGCCAACCACGCCCAAAGATCTTTTGGGAAAGGCGGAGACTCCGTCTGGCGGCTGTAGAGAACTCTATCGGTAAACTGGACATTTTTTCAATAGTCCATGATCGGTTTCTTGGGTTTTCCATTGAAAGTACCCTTGGTTCATATCTCGGAATAACACTCGTTGAAATTCAAGAATCCTCCATGCTTGAAGTGGAAACTGTAGACTACAAGAATCTATACAGAACTAGAAATTTGCTATTGATTCTCCAGGGCTGAGTGGTTGCTTTGGAATGCTCAAGTATCAGCCGCAGTTTGACAGATTTCTATCAAAATACATTGGGCGTTAAACTGGTTAAAGATTCAATACGTACTATGTGATGGTTTTTTTTCCGGCTTTATAGGCGCAAAAGATCGACCTTAACGGGATCAGGCTTTCAAGGGAAATCATACGATACGGTATACTTTTAACTACACGGTACGCACAATATATCCTAAGTATGCGCTCAACTCAATATAGTGATTTCGATACAAAAACCGCTGTATAATTTGGGATAAGTAAGTTGCCCTACTACTTACTGACGATAGGCTGAGCGACAGATTCACGCGGCGGCACCGGCCGGAAAGGTGGACCGCAGAGGTCGGCCGCAAAGGTCGGAGGCGGCCTTCCTTAACCGCAGAGGTTCTGAACCTTGATGGCGACATTTGATACGTACTATTTCACTGTCATTTTTGTTCTCTTTCGGCATTCCGAAATTTTGTACTACTTCAGTCGGTACTAGAGAGATTCTGGGGTTCAGGTTTTCTGCCAGCGGACTTCATGTACAACCACTTTCTTAGGCAATAATGACATAGGTGATATCTTACCAATCTTCAGGTGCACCCATAGGCCAATTTTTCAACTATATCAGCGTCTTGGCTCTTCTAAGTTCTCGTAGATATTACTTGAGCATGTACCTTTTCCTCTTATTATTTATCAAGAGTCCTTGGGCAAGGCAAGGATATTTAGGGTGTTGAAGAACGAATGTCTCGGTAGCTGAACGCCCTATAGTCGATATAAAGAAGTGATGTCGAATTGTCTAAGTCATTCACATATAGACGTTCAAGAGCGATATTACTCATTGCCATGCCCTAGGAGTTCGAGTGATGAACCATTACTTCGGCCCCTCTCATTTAGGACATATATGCTTCCATGCATGGCGATACTATGCCATGGCCACCCGGGCCCTTCGTAATCATATAAAGTTATAACACAACCCTCTCATCCTTCAACACGGCCTGAAAGCTGACATCCGCCCCTGCTTTGACGCTGTACAAGACAAATCGCATTTAGATGCTTTCTATCAAGCATAGCAAGAAATGAAAGCCTTTGAGCTCTGTCCACCTCTAGGTCTTGTTGTTCATACTTCTTATGCTCCCTCTGTCTCATTCATTAATCAATTCTCTTTAACATTGCCTCTAGTCTGACTGCCAAGCACCACCTATACTTGACTGATCAAAGCCCGCTGAAGATGTACAGATCTCGCTATACTCAGCGATTCTGGCTAGCGCTATAAGAGCCTCACGCACCTTTGTTAGAGGAATGAAAGGCGCCGCTCACGGCCCAATGGGGCTTGGCGAAGTCCAGGTTAGCAGGAGTGCAAGGCTCAAAGAGCCTTATGCCGGTGTCTAAGTAGTATCCCAAGTTTAAATTTTTTTTTTGGATCAACAAATATCTCTCATTGGTACTACCTACTCTTTTCGACCGCTTCTTGATCTCTGCAAGTGTATTCTCTGAATGATATACTCCGAGTACATAAGTAGGATAACAACAACGGCAAGGGAGCTGGTCCTAGCTTTGCAGGCCTAATCTCGATACCTCTCCGGGTAGCCTCAACGCCGCTTTCCTTCTGCCACTTTTTTTGTTCCCAAGATTTGGATTTATTTTAAGAGCATTCCCACCTCTGGAAATGTCTAGTCCAACAAGTACCAGATTGTGCAGCTGTCAAGATGGCCCATGCTCAACCAACCCCCGCAAGGCCATCGCGAAGTCATGGCCTTGATTTCCTCAGACGACAGCATTCCGCTCCCCGAGCCGGACTTCTTCAATGTTCATCACAGAATCGCAAATATTCTTGATGCACGTGGGATTGGGGCAAGGATCGAGGCAAAGATTGAGGCTTCTCAGAGTGACCCTGAGAATCTGAGTCCTGACGGCACAACTGACTTGGGGTCTATCCTACGCCGGAAGATGCTGATGGACTTTTAGACGATAGGATCACACGGCCTGGATATCCAAGGCTAAAGGGATAGTGAACCAGCGTGGACGAGCGTCCTCTGTCGTTGAGAAGCTGCGTGCAGGCTGAGGGTAGGGAGCACAAGCTGGACACTGAAAATAGAGATGGATGCTCAGTCTGACCGTCCTACGGGACAGCATGGGGTCAAGAAGACTTTGTACGATAAAAAGACCGAGACGACGTCACGACAATGCATAGTATGATGAAGGAGATTAAATCAAGACACAAAACGCATGATAAGATGGACAGTCTTTGTTGAGTCGGGCATAGCTTTAAGCCTCGAAACATGGTCGCAGGCTCTACCCCAAGGCCCCTTACCCCGACTTCTGTGGAAGTCAACCCCATGGCATGGAATCCTGCAACAAAAACGTCGTCTTTTTCGTACAAATCTCGTATGGGTTGGGCGCGGGGCTCCGGAAACAAGACGCGCATAGAATGTCAAGACATGCGGCTCGGCGGGGCATTGTCGGAAGGCATCAATGTCTAACGTCCAAACATCCGTAAACCCGCTTCGGAAGGAGGAATGCGGCCTGGAAACTTTCTCCCCTGTAAAATTTCCGCGCAGTCTGCAAATGGGTCTATTCCACTTGCTGTACGACCAACAACGATGGCCAGGCACGCGAGCACACGCCATATGAAGAGGTCGTTGCCCCTCTGGACTTGCGTTATTGGGGCAGAATGCCTGTCGCCCTGGAGGAAAGCTTTTGCTGCAGATGGCCTTCGGTGACGGATGCGGCATAGACTCGCGTGACTGCCTTCAAATTGCCCCCAGGAGTGGGACTCGGTGGCCGACGACCCCTCCAGCCGCATTTGCATACCCGCTGGAATTCGGCGTATCTGTGGTGAAGGCTGTGATGCTACCCGTTGCAGGGCTAATGATTTGGCGCATATGCAACTTCTCATATGGTCGGGACCGTTCTCAGCTCTACGCTGCGTAGAAAATCCTTTTGTATGGTCCAAAGCCAACATAGTCGCGATTTGGGGGCTGTTAGCGGTTGGACTAAACCCTCACCATCTTGATATTGATGCTGTCGGCCTTGCGGGTCCCCCAACGTTTCTCACAACGTTGCATGGGCGAGTTTTCGTGGCGGGCATGGTCTAGCCAGTCTCCTGCAACCGATGATGAGGCAGTTTATCAGATCCTTGAAAACCGCCCATCCGTAGGCGATCAAGAGGGGCAAACGGCGAGACATGCCGTTCTGTTGCCGCTCCAATCCGCATTCGAATCCTTCGCCAGGTCCGAGTAAAGAGTTGGGAGGATTCACCTTACGCAGTACAATGCATGGCCTAAGACAGGGCATTTGTGTAGATACACTCAGAGACTTTCCTGAAGTATGTTTCTGCCCTTATGTGCCACCTCCTGAGCGTTTGCTTGCATGAAGTCAACGGCTATTGTCCTGAGCGCTGGAAGGGACTGCATCGAGTTGCAGCTTGGCAGCTTGCCTGTCTACAGCAGGATAAAAAAGTAGCCTATCGGCAACAGGCCGTGACGGTTTTGCCAAAATGTCAAAATCCAATCCGCCATGCCAAGTGATGCACACTGACGGGACCTTTGCGTTGTGGAATGCGAGGGGTCAATGACCGAGGAGGCCAATAGATCTCATCAGTCGAGCACGTGGGATATACGAGAGCAGGCATTTGTCGATCCACTTCAACATTTTGGGTGGAGAGTTCAGAGGCGGCTCGCGGCGGGCCATGAGCCGCGGATCGGGACCCTGAACGGAAGAGCAAGGTGGTCAAGGCGGCATTGCGTCTGGCTGCTTTCTACTCCATCGCAGTGCGTTTCTGGTGGAGAGGGGAGGGACTGTTGCTGACAGATGTTTGAAATGAGTTGAGATGTGATTCCTGGAGTCTTCGTTAGTGGTTATTGTGGTTCAGAACTGTCTGGTTAATTTCATTAGAAGATTGGTGGAATCTTACTCAGCATTCAGAATGAGGTAGATCAGCAACTTACAAGCTTAAGCCTTGTACTTGATGGCGCATATTGATTGGACCAAAGTGAGGCCGCATTCTAAGCCTCTACGGAGTATTCTCTCTTAGTTTGCCCGGCTTTCGCAGTGTGGCGGACGGCCCGAAGAAGAGGCTGCACACCAACGGAAAGAAAGGTGTGGCACGAAGTCGTCAAAGGATGCTGAAACTGGCTGCAGGCGATGAAATTTTGCGATGTGGCGCGTGTGAGACATCCAGAATGACGCGGCGTGTGATATTGTGGCACAGACCGAGAGATTTGGGCTGCCTCTGAAGGTAATACAGGAGGCCCCGCCATTTCAAGGCTCACATATAAATCCCTGTGTCTTTCCGAACATTGTGGCTCTGTACGGTATTGTAGCTTTGGAACGTGCCATTGGCGTGAAAAAGAGTACATTGCACGAGTTGGAGAAGTCTACAGACCCGACGACAATGGAAGAGGATATGTTGAAAACGAAGCCACTGGCCGTACGTGAACAAGAACCAATCTCGATCTGCGCTCGTTGGTATGGCTTAGCACGGCGTGTTGCGCGGTCAGTGGTTACTGACATGGAGGCCCAGCCGAGACCGAGCCAGTAAAAGAGGAGAAAAAGTGCAGAGCGGTGACACGAACTCTATCTTGTCGCGATAGTGAGACGGCCAGCTGTCAAATGAAGCAAGTGAGCATGTGCTCATCATCTAAGTTAGGTTCGTCCGCTTACGGATGAGGGGGGAATTGGAGGGGAACCCCGACTGGCATGTTATCTGTGCCGAGCAACGATGTTTCCCTGCGGCGTGGATGATAGCAGCGGACAAGACCAATCATGGAGCAGAGTGCTTTTTAAAGCCCAAACTCAGTCATGTCGCAATGCTAGGTTGCCGTCTGCGCTGCATGCAAGCGAATGTACAAAGTCGCAGTTGCAATGGTGAAAGCACCGAGGAGCCCGGACGCGCGCTGAGCGGGCGGAACTCAATCGTTTGGTTGATGGACGAGATGAGACAGACGGGCAGTTGCAAGTTGCAAACGACCGTCCTCTTCTCCGAAACGGTCGGTCCCAGTCAAGACTCTGACGTTTAGTAAACGTCTTTTGTCAAACACGGCCGGGTTCCAAAGGCTCAAGGGAATAGCGGGCTCCGACAGCGTTCCGAGTACGGGCGGGACGTGGCGCCGCCGGCTCTGGTGCTGCGTTTTGCCGGATACAATTAGGCAGGGCTGATTGGGCCGAAGAAGGCAGACAACGCAGACTATCACGATCCGAGAGTAGTCATGGTGTAGTCGAGGCAATCCCTGGTTGCGCTAGAGCAAAATCAGATGCAAAGAGGCAGAGATTTCTTTTTGGGTTTCCACCGGCCGTCCACTTTCAAGGTTTTGGTCGACATGGTAGAGTAAAGTCAGTGGTTGAGACCTTGATGAAAAAATCTGAATGAGTTGGCGCTAATGCAATATCGCGGCGTTACTTCATTGAAGTTTTGGTACGATATACGATATAGTCGTATGGATACGGAGTGCTTACAGCCAAAAAGCGAAAGAGTATTGGAGATGGAGACAATTGAAGTTGATCCACGGCCACTTCGGGTCAAAAGTGCATGGAGTTGGAGAGAAGACCGTAGAAGGCAGGAATGGCCGAGGAAAGCAGGAATTGCCTAAGATGAGTGGGAGAGGCTTCCCACCCCGTATCGCAGGCGGCAGGTGCAGCAACGGGGATTCGTGAGCAAGGGCAGGAAGTCCACCTGGGCAGGCAGGACCACAGTGCGGCAGGGCCATGGGTAGGTCTCCGTACACTAGTCCGTACCGCACTTCCCCTGACAACCTGAACTTCAACTTATTGCTCTTGCGACTCGACAAGGAGGGGAAGGAGAGAATGGGCAAGGTGGGTCTGAGATGCGGCATGCCTGCCCTCCAGCTGCACCTCATACAGAAACGGCAGCGAAACAGCATTTGGTGCTGCAGGAGCATCATTGGGTGGAGGGAAGGAGGGAGACAAGACTTGGCAGACATCTGAAGTCACCTCCAGGCGCAGACGTCCGTCTCAACCTCAAGGCTCAAGCCCCCAACCTTGAGTCGCGGCTCGCCATGATTGATGCCATTGTCGCAATTGCAACAACAACCTCAAGGGTAATCATACACCGCCGTACTCCGTGCTAAATCGAACCTCTCACCATCTTTGCCAATACATGCGCAATCCACATTAATCTGGCCGTTGTCAGACTTGGCTACTATGCAGAGTCACGTTGGCTGCGGCATCGATCAATCGTCGTTGCTCAATCGTCGTCACGCCTGCGAGCCTGCGACCTGAAGGAGGGGACGGGACCCTGAAGGAAGCAACGATGGTAGCTTATCCAATTGCTCCGAGTCCCCTCCCTCCTGCAGCCGATGACTGTGCCAATGTGCTAACGATGGCCTTGCGAGCGGAGACCTGGGGAGCAAGGAGTCACGATGCCCACAACTACATTTGAGGCCCGTCATTATCATCATGGTGGTGCTAGCTTGCCTTATGTAAGGAGTCTAACGTGCCATGGGTGCTTGGTGCTTGGCAGAAGTACTGTGTACGGTTATTCCCTCTGCAGATTGTTCCCTCGTGTGTCACTCAGCGGCGTCATAGAGACGAAGGGCTGCAGCACCAATTGATTCTGCTGCTACGAGCCAAGACGTGACATGGCAAGCGTCCAAGGCATCGCGTCTCTGAGCGAGCCCAGGCCAATATTCTCTCTGCTGGCACGCAGCCAGCCGGGGAATGGGCAACAAGATAATTGAAGAGGAAAGACGCAGTACTATCGAGTCCTGATGTTGCGGAAAAGCAACTTCCCATTCCGCGCCTTCCTTCCTAGGTTGATAAGGTAACTTACGTTAACAACATCGGTACCTATCTAAGGTATCAGTAGCAGGGCAGCAGCCATTGCCTATCTGTGAGGTATGTTCCTTCCCAACCCAGAATCCTGGGCAACACATTCGTCAACGCATCCACGCATCCAACCATACGTAGAAAGGGTCCATACTTGGTGTGTATAGCCATGCATGTGCAATCCATCCACTCGGATGCGCGAATGAGGCCGAGTGCAGTCAAGATTGGGTCTGGACTGGCGAGAAAAGCCTGTAATTGACCCGATACGCTGCACAGCACTTCCCTCCTGCTTTCGGCGGCTGTACAGTACCTTGGAATCTCTGTATTCATGTACGGGTACCTACTTTCATTGGCCACATACCTACCTTACCTGCCTTCCTCGCGTGGGACGTATCCGTACCTGTTCCAGTCCATGTTCCTGTTCCTGATTCTGTTCCCAAGCCAAGGAAGGTATCGCTACCAGCCTAGATACCAGACCTACCTGTCCTCGTG